AGCCCGCCCCAGCACGCCCGCCCTGAGTAAGCCGCTGCCAGGAGCCTCCCGCCTGTCGCTGCCATCCTTCCTTCCTCCCTCCTGCCCCTCGCCGGGCTCCCGTAACGGCCGAACTGAGGCGTCACCCGCGGCGGCGGAGCCTCACGCTCTCGCGAGACTTGAGAGAGGCGAGATCGCCACTGCGCTTGCGCGGGGACTTCCCTCAGCTGGCGGGCAGTCCTCGCCAGCGAGGGTGATCGGTGTGTGGAGCCGGGGGCTGCAACCGAGGGAAGGGAACCGGGCAGCCTTGAGCTCCCAAGGACGCGATGAGGCTCGGCAAACCGGGCTGGGTGACCCTACGAGCGAGCAGGGTGGGAATTGCCTGGCCCTGCAGAGGCATCCCGCGGGTGTTGTAGGCTCACGGCTTCATTGGCAGCACAGGGGCTACAAATCGCAACGCTTTATTCAGCTTCGCGGCGTAAAATACAAACGTTAAATGTCTTGAAATGCGTGATACAATTTTTCTGCGTGTAAAACAAAGGCGCATGCAAACCCGCCTCTTAAAAAAAGAACACATTGTCTACCTAAAATACAAGCACTTCAAAGGACAGCAGTGTTTCCATAGGTTGCTCGTAGTGTTACCTGGTCGTTGTGCAGATCACAAAGCACGCTCGGTGCTGGTGAAAGAGGCCCCTGACATGGCAACTCGACCCCTTCCCTGTGCGTTTCAGTGGGGGGTATTTCAGTTTCTCTGCAAAGGCAGCGGAGAGGGGCAAGATCAGGGTAGGGTGTCACCCCCCTCAACTAGTCGTGCAGTAGATACTGTAACGGAAAATGTCCATCTTGGTTAAGGACGTCCACCAAATGGCTAGCGGTGGCTGTGGGTAAAATCTTTCAGTTAGTTTTATCACTAGGACCTGGGTTCAGTGGGAAACACCACCACAGCTGCTTTATAAAAAGATAAACGAGCAGAAATAAACCAATACATTATGGGCCTGAATTTGAAATCCTAGCCTCAGAAAAACAGAAGGATTTCATCAACTACTTAAGCAGGATTGGGAGCCCTTCTTGGCATAGCTTATAAAGGCCATGTCAGAATCACCCTCCCTCTTTCAGTCTTCAGTCTTTTAAATTCAAGCATTCAGATTCAAGCATTTTTGTCATAATCACTTTTGCATTATTATGCTAGAGAAAATTCTTAGAAATGGATATGACTTCAGTACTTTACGAAAAGTAGCCATTCAGCTTTAGTGTTCGGCTCCCCCTTTGCTAGGGAATCTATTTTGTGCTGCCCAGACATTTTCTATTTTTAAAAAACAGTAAGGGAAATCGAAGGCAGGAGGTGAAACAGTCCAAACCTTAATGACCAGAAGAAAAAACAGTGTGTGGCAATCAGCCTCATTTTGCTGCTGAGGACAATGAAAACTCCCTGCGTCTCCTGTAAGGATCCCTGCCTCCAGACAGGCAGAGAGCTGCTCCATCAGCCGACTGCACGTGCAACCTCAGGAAGCTGAAAACCTGACCTTCTGCCTGGGGGCTGCTTCAAAGGCACTGCCAGCACAACCGCTCCTCAGCTCAGATGGTTTGATGGCCTCCAATCTCAGAGGAGGTGGTGGAGCACCCAGGCGTTTCCTGCCTAATGATGGAAGTGGCGGTGGTCATTAAAAGAACTGTCCGTCCATACAAATTTGGACAATTATGGCTCTTTTTACTCGCAAAAGGGCCATCCCTGCTATGAGTTGGATGGTGAGGAAGCCCTGACCAAGCTCATCCAAAGTAATGCAGCACTTTGGAGACCTAGAAAAGGCATGGGCGACTGGGCCCTGCACAAATACTGTTCAGGATTCAGCCTTTTTCTTCTTGATGCTGCAGAATAAACCATAAAAATTACCTTAAATGCGATCAGACTGAAAGCAAAGTGCAGCTCCTCATTTGCAGGATTTAGGATTTAGTTGAGATATGTACCAACGCAAAGGCAGGTAGCGTGGAAATCGTGCCATTTGAATGGGACAGATTAAAGCATTAAATATAAGCTCCTTTAGTGGCGTTACTAGCACAATCCTGGCTTATTAAAACAAACTAAGCTGCTTAAAAGCGAAACTGCCCTTAAATGAATAATACTGTTTCAGTTCCAGTTCTGACAGAACTTCCTTTGTTAATTCATGTTCCCTTTCAAATCACTTCCAATTCTGGGGTCTCATGTCGGAACTGCCATTACAGTTTTATCTATTTTGAAAGTCCAATCTTTACCGTCAAACTGCCTTACGTACGTCTGAGGCATCAGGAATATTATTCTTTCTGTATGACATTAAGAATAAAAAAGAACAGAAAAAAATGCTTGCCAAATCTGACTCTGGCCCTGAAATACCCATGCTCAGAGCAAGGAGGCACCAGGTAGTGCCATGTCCTGGTGCTGCTGCCCTGCCTTGGGGAAGGGGTCAGGCTCCCAGCCAGGAATGCTGCAGCACTGAATAATTTAAGCAGCAGGTAGGGAGGCACAGGTGGTTGATGGAGCTTGGGCACTAGCCCGTGGCCACATGCTCCTGTGTTTTTTTTCCAAACTGTTTTCACTTAAAAAAGCAGAACAAAAATAATCCTCCCAAACTTGAAAGAGCCCTGCTGCGAAGAAATACAGACATGAACCAGAGAGGTCTGGATTGCATCACTTGTATGTGAAGGTTACACTCCCACTGCCCAAAGTCACATTTGTAAGATCTGATTTTAGATCTGATCTCAGATCTGATTTCCTCTAATGTACCATTGAGCCATAATTAGGCAGGAGGCTGGAAGCTTCTCCTCCAAAACTACCGGAGATATATTTTCAAAGGCACTGAAAGTTAATGGAAGTCATCTGATTTCTGCACTGGCAATCTCTACTGGATATTGCAAAGTATTAAGCTGAATGCACTTAACTCCAGGAAGGTAAATAGGTTCCTACCAGTCATGACCTGGAACAGCCTCTTGCTTTCCTCCTTAATAAAACAGCGCAACAAAAACGGGTTTAACACTGGGAACACAAAACTGTTTCACTTATTTTTTTTTTTTTTGCTTCTAAAAACAGCCCTTGCCAAGAGGATAAGGGAGAAGATTTATCAACACCATCTCCAGGGTGCTCTAGTCCTGGAATCAGCACCCACCTACTGGTACTGTCTGCCTTGTGGCCAAGGTTTCTGACCTACTGAAGGACAAGACTGTTTCTGTAGGAAGGCGATGAAGTGTGCCTCCCCGGAGCCCTCCTCACCCGCTGGGAGGATGGGACATGCTACGGACATCAGCCAAGCACTGCTGACACGAAACAGGAGGGAAGGACCAGCACATCAGGTGCTGGCTTTGGTAGAAAGCAGCAATTTGACTTTGACACTGGAGGGGCAAGCCCAGACACTGCTGACACACAGCCAGGCAGTGCAACCTGTAACTCCCTCCCACACCTTCACTTCTCCTCCCGTGGCCAGCCCTCTCCTCCTCCCTGCTCCTCCTCTCCTCCGACTGCGCAGCTCTGCCAGGAGCTGGGCAGAGCCACCAGAGTGAGGGAGGCCCTGCAGGAGTGCAGCTCTGGACGCTGTCACAGGCAAGCTGCCCAAGGAGTCAGCTGAGCCCTATATGGCACTTTGCAGGAGCTATGGTCTGCGCAGAGGCTGAGGGATTCATCCCTGGCCAGGCAAAGAGGCTATAGCATCCCTGTTTCAGGACAGGGAAGGCTTGAGATGGAGGCATTAACAGGCTTGGCTACTGCTCGTCAGAGTCCAGATCAGCTCTGGGGAGCTCCTGGTCCTCGCTGTTGCTTCAGACCGGGTTCAGTGTCTCCATTTCAGCCTTGCTGCTGAGCTCGGGCACCCAAAGAGATGGATGCAAGCCCATGAAATCCACATCCTGAGGGATTTGGCAGGGAGGAGGATTAGTGCAGTTGAAAGTAAAAACAAAAGGACGATGCAAAAGCCCGATCCTCGTTGCCCTGGCTGCTGGGCCAGCCGCAGCCATGGTAGCTCACGTGAGTCCTGTGGCGAGACAGGGACAAAGCTGGAGGCACCCTCTGGGGCCAGTGGCCCATCAGAGGCATTTTGTAAGAGCCCAGTCTTATCTGCAGTGAAAGACCAAACGCAGAAGGACTTTGGTGCAAGACCACAGACAATAATAAATGCTAACCTGTGCAAACTTCCACGCTGAGAAACAAAAACAAAGTAAGTGGTGAAGGAGAGGCAGGCAATGAAGCACCCAGAGCATCCACTATGCAGGGACGGCAAGAGGCCAAACCCGCTGTGTGAGGTTCATTGCACACGTACCAATTTGGGCCCCCTCCACACCTCTCCACACCAGCAGAGCGGAGTTCAGAGGCAGCTCCCCAGGTTCTACACACCTCCAGCTGCGTAAAGCCTCATGGAAATGAAACGTGAGGTATAGGGAAGGTCCAGGTCCCTCTCACGTGCCCTGTGAAGCACACATGCGCTGTGCACTCAGCCACCGACCAGGGCAGGGGGCAAGCAGTGTCCATCACTTCACTCTTCCCACAGGGAAATGGGCTCCTGGGCATCAGTTGGCTGGTGGCTTGTGCCCCGCACCCCCAGTCACGGGTGTCCCCTCTTCTGCCTCTCCTGCCACTCCCGTCTCAGCACCGCAATCTCCTGCCCATACCAGCTGTGCAGCTTGGAGAAGCAGGCCGTCTCCGGTGACACCGGGCTCTCTGGCATGGCTGGCAAGAGACCAGACGATGGAGAACCTGCCGCACTGCTGGCGACCGAGCGCCGGCGCGGAGGCAGGGGTGGGGGCTTCGCGTGCCCCTCATCACGGTCAGGGCAGGTGGCCCCGCCAGGGACGCCACCACCACTGCCCCATGTGGAGTAACCATTCTCCAGGACGGCGGGCTTCTCCTGGAGAGGCAGCAAGGCCGGGTTGGAGAGGTGCCTCTTCCTGCCAGAGGAGGAGGACCTCCGTGGAGACTTGCGGCAAGCGGCCAAGCTCTTGCAGGCCTCTTCCAGCTGCTTCTCCAGCTCCCTCACCACCAGCCGCATGTAGTCGAAGCTGGCCCGCGAGAGCGCCTTCACCCAGGCCTCCATGGCAGCCTGGCCGTCGGCCACCAGCACGTAGGCCCTGGCGCCAGCATCGTCGAAGCGGATGGCGAAGGCAAACTCCTCGGCAGCCTCACACAGCTCCACGGTGCAGCCCTCCAGCACCACCAGCCCCACGGGCTCCCGGCTCTCCCGCTCCTCAAAGTAGAAGAGGAGGTTGCCCTTGAGGACGAACCAGCGGCGCTGGTAGGAGGTGGCGTGGTGGTGGTGGGCATGGTGGTGGTGTCGCTCCACACGCTTGCGGAGGAAGCCGGCATGGTCGGCAGGAGAGTCGCAGGTGGCGTAATGGGCCACGCTCCGCTCGTTCAGCTTCATAGCCTTGCCTGGGAGCTGAAGAAAAGAGGGGGAAGAAGTCAGTTTGGGGCAAGGAACATCTCACCTGCCCCAGCAGGAAAGGTCTGATCCTGCCCAGAGCCTCCCATGGGGAAAAGCAGCCCTGACTCCAGCAGCCAGAGGTGGCTCCTGGCTGCTGCCGAGAG